TCATATATTGGATTGACATACAAGTACACTCCACCTTATATTCATGTTAACATATTCATATATTGGATTGACACACAAGTACACTCCACCTTATATTCATGTTAACATATTCATATATTGGATTGACATACAAGTACACTCCACCTTATATGCATGTTAACATATTCATATATTGGATTGACATACAAGTACACTACACCTTATATGCATGTTAACATATTCATATATTGGATTGACATACAAGTACACTACACCTTATATTCATGTTAACATATTCATATATTGATTGACATACAAATACACTCCACATTATATGCATGTTAACATATTCATATATTGGATTGACATACAAGTACACTCCACCTTATGTGCATGTTAACATATTCATATATTGGATTGACATACAAGTACATATAGGTTTGATGGACAGGGGTATGAATGCATTTTAATTTGATTGTCAAGCACGATCTTGGTTGAAACATGTTTGCAGAATATAATTAGTGCTGTCAGTCACTTATAATTGACAGGTGTGTTTTGTTATCATTGAATCCACACTGTTAAGGATTATAAAATCGTTCACTTTCCTATATGCAATTTTGTTCACCGTCCGTATATTGGACCACCGTTTGAATTATTTGTTGTTTGTTTTTTTTTCTTTGGGGAAAATAGGACTGAAGGTTAACAAGAAGACACAAAAGCGGATGAATCTAAGCAGTGTGTGTAATAATGTGATTAATCTGCTTAACCTTTTCACCACCAGATTTTTTCGCCCATATTTTTCTGTATCATTTCTTATATTCTTCAATATTTCTGAAAATGAACTCGAATTTTGAAGCCTATAGACAAAATTAGAGCTAATTGTCAGTTTTAACTCAAAAAAAATTGACTATTTTGTCCATATCCTCTGAAGGGATGTGCAGACTATAAACGGGACTACTTTTTAAATTTGTGATTAAAAGAGGGAACTGCTTTTGCAATGGTTAAAAGGCAGGTTACCGTAGTACTAATTCACTCCTGCTGTGTTCGGGCATCGCACCCAAAGATATCTGAATTGAAGGTAAGATGGTCGCAATGACATGGTTTACCAAATACATAACTGAAAATATAATATTTTGAGAATTATCATTTGGCAATTTAGATACTATTCTATTTAGACTGTGAACAGCAGGAGTTTTCAAATCCTGGCATCGGCTACTCTCAAAAATAGGCATGTACAAATAGTAATTTTTAACAATGTTATGAATATGATATTTTATGATGTTCTCTCACAGTATCACATCATGGACTCCCAGTGTGTGTGTCTGGTGTTCATCATTGCGTTTTGTCCGCTGATTTGGGGGAAAAGACCAGTACCCGTAAGTATCAGTTACAATGTGAATTAATACTGTAACAACCGACATCTTTAAAATTATATTTCTGATTAGTCATGCCATGTGTAATCGCTGCATGGCAAATACAGAACGATTTACAACTTATGAATTCAAAAAAAATGAATTAACAGTCGTTATTTCTAATTTGCTTTTCTTAATACTGCCATACGAATCCATCGTCATTTATCGTGACATGGCCAATCGCCGATCTTTTGGAGTGACTCGGCCAACAATCGGTATTTCGTAGTGACTCGGCCAATCGCCGATCTTTGGGAGTGACTCGGCCAACAGCCGGTATTTCGTAGTGACTCGGCCAATCGCCGATCTTTGGGAGTGACTCGGCCAACAGCCGGTATTTCGTAATGACTCGGTCAACAGCCAATCTCTGACAGTGACTCGGCCAACAGCCGGTATTTCGTAATGACTCGGTCAACAACCGATCTCTGACAGTGACTCGGCCAACAGCCGGTATTTCGTAGTGACTCAGTCAACAGCCGATCTCTGACAGTGACTCGGCCAACAGCCGGTATTTCGTAATGACTCGGTCAACAACCGATCTCTGACAGTGATTCGGCCAACAGCCGGTATTTCGTAATGACTCGGCCAATCGCCGATCTTTGGTAGTGACTCGGCCAATAGCCGGTATTTCGTAGTGACTCGGTCAACAACCGATCTCTGACAGTGATTCGGCCAACAGCCGGTTTTTCGTAATGACTCGGCCAATCGCCGATCTTTGGTAGTGATGCAATAAATTAATTGTCAGTGTTAATGAAGTAGTAAATCACCTGTCAGTATAGTGCCGTGACGTTGTATGGTGTATGAGTTATTCCGATTACTTAAAGCGCGATAGTCGTCGCGGTGCGCATATGCGACATTTGTGTTGATAAACATTGATTTTCCCACAATCCAATGTGCTTTTCAAATGCAAATCACAAGTATGAGGTTTGTTTTGGGCGCGACTTGCACATGACTGATTACCGCCGGTGACTCCTTCGATACCTACCAAGCACGTAAAAAGTAATTAATTAAAGCTTGGAATCGGCTCAGTTTGTACTCGCTGATCTTCGCAACAGTCAAAGTCGCCATCTTTGTTTATCTGAGACCCATATATATCCCGCATACGTGGCGCGACGACTACCGAGCTTTAAGTTCAGAGGTTCAGCTAAGTATATAGTTGGCAGTAAAATAAACTATGGCCACATCACAGTATATAGTACTGTTGTAATATTCAAAATAAAGTACACTATTCTGCTTCTCATGTTTGAAGCACTTAGGAGACTTTGTTTCTCAAACCAAGCCCGCATTTCCCCAATCTGATTAAAATCTAGTGTAATTCTGCCCACATTGGCTTTCGCAATTACCAAAATTTAAAAAAATAAATACTAGATCAAAATAAAATATACAAAAAAAAAGCCAAAACTAGGATCTTATTTTAATCAGATTGGCGTTCTCCGTATTAGTTGCTGTTGGTAGTAAGACATATTCTGTAAAACTTTTATGTCAGAAAATTATTATTTCATTTACAATATTGTGCTAATATTTGACTCTTTTATCCAACTCGTCAGGTGTCCAAGATAGAACCAATTGGTAAGATATTTACAATAACAATCAACATTACCCCTGACTATACCCATGTAGTACTCCCTCATTAGAAGCATAAAATTACTGGACACGAATCGTGCTTACTAATTCAGGTTGTTTTAGTGTATTATGCAAATTTAATGTGAGAATGTGGGTACTTTTCGTGAAATTAAAAATGTGTTCCTAACACACAAAATAATATGAGGTTATTACGAGGATACCTCAAAGTATGCACGAAGACAGTACAACTTGGTACATCTTTTCCTTCCAATGATACAGCATGGGAATCCAAAAAGTTCAGAACAAAATCATGGCACGCTGTAACTTATGGCGTTACGGTGACAGATGTATAATAATATTAGTTACTAGTATGTCTAAGCAATAATCATGAATGAATGTATACTAATCTGTTTGCTACAGTTTAATCGTTTATTTATATACAATTATTTCAATTTAATAATTTTTTTACACCAAAATATATATATTGTCAGACAACGTGTTGATTGGTTTGCGTCTCGAGATCTGTATCTGACTAGGCGAGCAATATACGTAATACACTTAGTATTTTTCAATTCGTTGGTAGAAATATCAATTGATTCATCAATCACAGTCAACATACACGGCGGGAAGGACGCAGAGCCACACGCGTATCCGTGGCAGGCTGTTCTTAGACGCTATGTCGGTGAAAAACCATATTTTATCTGTGGGGGATCCCTTATAAGTGAGAATCATGTATTGACAGCGGCGCACTGTATTCACGGGTAACGTATAAGACCACAATTGATATATTTTCTGTTTTTAGGTTTAGTTGTTTGTAAAGGTGTGAGAGGTCAATGGGTGATTTTCCGTTCAATTGCGAGATCTCGCGTATTGCGTGATAGACGCGGGTCGAACGTCTGCCGTAAAATTCGAACGATATGATTTGATTCGAATTTCGTTTTATTTTCATAGCTCAAAGTCGAAAGGCCGATCTTTGAAAGGGGATATTGCGTTTGAATACCCTTACTTCATCAAAATTGACCATCATCAAATGTGTACAGCACATTATTAAGCATGGAAATGTCCCCAAAATACTTTCGTGTTTGTTGATTCTCACGCGATGTTTGTCGCCACTACGACGCTGTGACTTTTGTTTGTCCTGTTTTTACGTTCGATTTCACGCATAACGCGGGATCTCGCAGGGAACGGGAAATGGTCTATTGATAGGTGTCTTCTCTCGAACAGTGCGGATTGCACGTGTCAAAATATTCAGAATGTCAACACAGATCAGCATTGTATTAAAGCGGGGGGGGAGTCGTCACCTGCGCATGCGTCAGATGGCCATAGGTGTCATTGTTTACAAACAAACGTCTACCCATAAGCCTTTGCGTTTCTAGCGTGTGTTATCGTCGCTTCGAACTCAATTCCCGAGCGTGCGCAGGTGACAATCCTCCCGCTTTAAACATAATCAATACGTTATATTCATTTACACTACGATCTACAATGGTAACAGTGTACGGTTCTTTGCCTGCTAACATTATCAAAATGAACTTTCATTATACCAACGTTCATTGCTGATGAGTATTTTCAGATACAAATGTCAGACACGAATTACACTGTGACCTCGCCATAACGAATATGTCTTCCGCTCATCAACCCAAACTATTATGGGTTCATTAAAGTGAACACTTCACTATAACAAACTAATCGTACCCCCCCCCCCGCCATTCGTTATGATGTGCACAACCACTCGCCGTGAGATAAAGCAACTGTTTGTCAGTTGTTCATTTCTTTATTTCTAGTAGTTCTCAGCTGGTGTTTGGTCACTCTTGTTAGTACCCAATTAAAAGTCAAATCATTCGCTCTATTCTTACGACCTATTTTCCTCATTTTTGATAGTCTGTATATATTTCTCTGATTCAGTCTGTGCGTTCTGAACATTAGGGTACTGTATTTTCGTTTAATCGGCTGGCAAGATGTGTTGTTGTTGTTGTTGTTGTTGTTGTTGTTGTTGTTGTTGTTGTTGTTGTTGTGTTGTAACAAGTTTTGTATTTTCTGTTTATAATTTAGCTTTTCAGCAAGCGATTTCATCGTAACACTTGGTGATCACAACCTTCTTGAAAACGATCACACAGAACAGTACATCAATGTTTCAGGGATATATAAGTGTCCCGTATACGATCCAACAACCATTGATTGTGACTACGCCATTCTGACTCTGGATCACAGTGCCGTTCTTAATGAAAATGTCAGTACTATCGCTATGTCTAATAATTACACCGACACTGGTAGTTGTATTATTTCAGGATGGGGCACGTCTGAACGTGACGGTGAGTACAATACCAGTTCGCAATATTTATTTGTGCATACCACTATCATTATGTCAGTACCTTCCGACATAACTTGGGGCGAGTTCTTGTTCACTCCCGACAAATTAAAAAAAATATATGGAAAAATGCTCGAAATAGTCACGAAACAATGCAAAATATGATTTCTCATTGTTTAAGCGCAGTTGGTCGTCGCGCAGCGCGTGTTCGAATTTCATGTAAATAAACAATGTATTTTACACGCGTTGTATACTTCGCTATGAGTCCCATATCAAACAGGACGCGGCACGACGACTGCCGCCCTTTTAGTATAATTCAGAAGGTTGTACATAGTATTTCTTACTGTACTAGTATATAACTTTTTAACAAAACGTTATTCAACATGTGCGTGAGAGTAGAACTACTGTGGCTATAAAGAGTTGACCATTAGAAACTATGGAGGGTGATGACATAATTGGAGGAAAAAAATAGTTTGCAAAGAAAAACAACCTGCAGGGAATAATAACAAACAAACAAACATCTTTACGCATAAATACAACAAAATCATCATGGGATAAAAGCAATAGCACATACTAAGTGGAGTATTTCTGATATCGTCCCTCCCCAGAGTTTCTAATGGTCAACCCCTAAGCAGAGCCAGACTATACACGTTATTACTTAAAGCGGGAGAGTCGTGCACATGCATCAGATCGCCATAGGGTTTCATTGTTTACCCATGAGCCTTTGTTTTTTTAGCATGTGTTGTTATCATCTCTCGGGAGTCAACACGACTCTGTTGATAAATTCACCATTTCGTAATGTTGTTTGACGTAATTTTATCACTGATGTTTATGGCTGGTTCAACGTGCATTTTAATAGTTGGCTGTTGAATAACGGCTGAACATATTGCTGCAAATAATGCACAAATAGGTGTCACATTTTCACGTGTCCTATGGAGTACTATCCTCACGTGTCAGAGCGGCGTGTGTAGTTGAGACATATGGCTGGTGTTCAATACTACGAAAGCAAAATATCGAGACTTTTATAGAAACAACAAGTAGTGAAAATCATATTTTTAAGATGAATGTGGTATTAAAGAACAACATCCAGAATATTCTAGTCCAAAGATTCTAGAATAAACATATTATCTGTCAGTTCATGTAGATTATTTTCTTTTAACAGAAAGTATACACAATATACTGCAAGACGCGGAAGTCGCTATATATCCAACCAGCAATTGCTCGTCTGGCAGAGTGTGGGGTAATTATATTACCGACAATATGGTGTGTGCCGGTAATGGATCGCCTGGAACATGTTCGGTAAGCAGCCCCATGTCGGCATTAGACTAGTTGCCGTCTATTATCGCGAGGCTTTACGAGAAAAATGTACAAATAATATATATTTTCATTTTATAATATATGTTTTTTCTTACAAATATAATATATATTTTTCGAATAATATATTTAATGATAATAATAACGTATTTTATATCCTTGAATATAAAATAAAATAGTTTCCAACCGCAAGTGCCAATAAAACCGCAGAGGATGCTGGGAAATTTAAAGTAAACGAACTTATCACGTTGAATAAGATTAAGAATGTATATGGCCAAGCCTTAATCAGAGGTTATTTGCGACTATTATGACGTGTAGTGTTGCGAGAAGCAATGTCGATATCTTTTCGAACACGTGGCTTCGTGTTCAGTTCTTTGCTGCTTTTAAATATAAACTGTCTAATCTGAAATATTAGATCTCAAATCTTAATGATGTACGATGAGATTCTTCTCAATTGCGTGCACGTGGGGATTAAGGCGCTTCGGTATCAGCCAGGAAGGAGACTGGTGAAAATCAACTAATGACCCGCCTCAAATTGTTACTCCAAAAGGAACTAATTTGCAACCAGTTGCAATATCCCTGTACAGTGCTGAATTATTGGGTCATTTGAATAAATTAAAAAAATATGTATTTATGTCATTTGCTCAGGGATAATAAAACCCAACCACGCGACAATCGAAAAGACTACTCCAATGTGTCTGTTTTGTGGAAAAGTTCACCCTATTAGCCCAGTCGTCCGAGAACCTACCTTCTGTGGTCGTTGTTGTGACTCTAAAAACTCTATCTCGTCTCATACAACTAATTAGTTGTCTGTGATCTCGCCATCAACTCCAGGTGTTGCAGCTTTGCTAAAGCTTCAGGGTCTTGACCATTGTGTTAGCCGAGGTGCATTATAATACAGGTCAACAATACCTGTACGGTTATGGAGCTAATACAATGCCGGATTACAACTTATAAACAACTACCTGTAACCAATACGATGACGTTACAAATTACATTCTGCATGGTAACACCGAAGTGTAAGCGGCTTATAGTTAGCATAAATAAAATATGTGCTGCGGTAATTATCTAGACAGTACTCGGAGAGCGCAAACGTCCACCATACGCAATTAACACATTCTCACTGTACATTTATCATACTCACGTGAACTTCAAATTTCTTTAGAAAGGAAAGACCAAATTGATTTTGTTCACTCGTGGAATCGATCATATTAGGCAAAATCCACACACCTATCAAAATTTAATCGATTAATCCATATCAGAGACAAACCCTCAGTTATATATAAAAATCATTCCCAAAATGAATGTTACCATGGCAACTGTATTCAAATTTGTATGAATAGTGTTAGATGATGTAAAAAAGTTGTTACCTTAAAATATATGTGGAAACTTACAGACCTGACTTATAATATGCATATTCCACTGTTGAATATTAATCATTATGTCTGTTACAAATTTAACGTATGAGGGGTGTAGGCATAATTCCTCAAATGTTTCCATGAAAATTTAAAATAGAAAGTGTAAGAACTTGTGTCAATACATGCGCAAAACGTGTTTCAGAGTCATTGCAGATGTGTCGTGAGCTTAAATGTGAACCCTTCAAACAGAATATTGCGAAAAAAGTAAAAAATTAACACATTGAAACAATTTTTATAGGATTCGATGTTAAAAAAATATATATTCATCAAAATTATAGTATATTTGTTCATCATATGTAACCGAACAAAATAATGACACCTTATTACCATAGAAACCATCGTGAATGGCCCCCAAAAAATCACAATTTTTATGAACATTTGACCAGTTTTTGAATAAATGAAAAAAAATGGAATAAATAGATAAAAAATAAACAAATAAATATATAATAAAGAAAGTAATATTATTTCTTCCTGTTTTGTCTAGGGTGATAGTGGCGGTCCTTTGGCGTGTCGGGATACTGATGGTAATTTAGTTCTACAGGGAATCACCAGCTGGGGAAGCGGTGATTGTGGTAGTATGCCAGACGTGTACACACGTGTGAGTGTATATTATGACGTCATCACGAGTCAAGTCGACGGCACTGTTGTTGCTGACTCCTCTAGTGAGGGAAATGGTAATGGAAGAGACAAAAACAAAAGCAATGGCAAAAAGAAAAACCAGATCAGCAGGGGGCGCGTACTGCGTTCGTTATTGCGTAATCCGAAATAGACAGCGTTTAGTTTTTCCACGGTTGCCCAAAATAGAATATGATAAACCCAGTTTTTTTGCTCCGTCATCCAAGTTTGTCATATACTTTCCAAAGTCACGCGAGATCTGGGGAACCGAGGAATGCCGAATGTGGCCGTATAAACGCTGAACTATCATTGAAAACTAGTTTAAACCTTTCCAATAATTGTAAGCAGTAGTTGTGGGTAAAACAATTAATTGAACACATATTACTCCGTCTGGAAAATCTGTATTCAAAGCAACTGACAACAATAATGCCTGTAACAAAGAAAAGTTCATCAAGAAAAATACAAGCTATACACATTTGTTGTTAGTAATTTTAAATGGCTAAAACATGACACCATCAAACGATCCGACCAAAACAGCTTAAGTTCAAGCAAAATATAAAAAAATGAAAAGCTCGTTTACTCCAACACCGTACTACTCACCGTATCTCAATAAATGTATACGGACATTGTCGTAAAATATTGATGTCACTAAATTTCAGACCAACTCAAATCTAAAATCAATTTTAAACGTTCCTACATGTTGATGTTTTCTGTATGCACATGGAACAATACACTACGTGCTGTGGTAGCATTTATTGTAGTATTTAAATTAAAGCACACCCTCTATTGACGACCTGTTTCTGTGACGTAAGTGGGTGTAGAAGACGCCGTTCACATCTTTGTACTTATTTCGGTCTGTGGTCAGACGCCAGTACAATATACTATATTTGAGAGATCCGATATGTTCTGAATGATGAACAAATACACAACCAATCAGAGTTGACATTACCTTCATCCATCTACGTCATTTTGACGTCACGGAAGTGCTTCGTCGTTAGAGGGCCCAATCTATTGACGACATATTGCATGTGACGAGGTATTGTATTTTGGTCATTTGTTAGGAAGACGGATTACATACAGACGGAATATGTGGTTTTCAAAAACAAATTCTCTTCCTCACCGTCACCACACCTAGCACTAACACGTCCACACATTTTCATCCATAGACAAGTTCAGTTTCATCATGGAGGTATAAACATTTATACCTCAATGTTTCAATTGATAGTTTATATTGTCGTTTAAGTCCCGGATGTACGTCACATATTACTCACCGATGTGCATGTATGTGTAGTGAATGGTGTGAGGGCGCTGTATTTTCGAGATATTAAAGGTAGCACTGTAAATGTAATCATAAAATCCCTTTAGTTATTAAATGATACTGTTCAAAATGCTAATCTTTCGATTGTTATTCATTTATATTTGCTATCCCGGAGACGATGGTCTGGTCCCGATTATCTGCACGTCTGTCATAGTGTCTTTGTCAGATTAATGCTTAACTATGGTGATAGGTCCAATGTACACAATCAAAAATATGATGCCTGAGAATTGACGCAAATGTTGTCTGTTGGCTCCAAAATTAGGAATCATTTTTAGAAATATTGAAGAATATGAGAATAAAGTGCAGAGAAATTTGGGCGAGGAAGTCTGGTGGTGAAAAGGTTGTTGTTTTGAATAGAGTTCGGACGTACAGATTCACAACGGTTCGCATTTGTTCAGACTGAGTATCTGAGCGAATCCCGAAACCCTGAAATATATCCCGTAATTGCCTATAATCAGACCATTACTTATGTCACATGATAGCCTTAAGATCCAATGAAGGTTAATGAATGGTTCTTAGAGAGTAACTTTAATGTGCGATGTACTCAGTTACACAAGCTATCGCGATATTACCTCTCCCAGGAAGGTTTTGTTTTCAGTAGCGTTTGTTTGTTTGTCTATTAGCAGGATAATTCAATAAGTTAAAAAGGATTGACATACCAATTTTAGGTTTCCCCTGATACAAGCATGAGCACATAACATTTTGTTGCAGATATAGGTACGGTTACCAGGGAAGCAGAAATTTTGAGAAAGATTTTTAATTTATAATTCAAATAGTTATGGGTGAATTCAATTTCGATGAAGACATTGATTATTATAAATTTATATATGGATTCTTATGAAATTAGTTGAAGAGAATGCCATGAACACGGAGGGCAATCGGCTTGATTTCGATGCAGATGTGGATGCAGTTGCTATGGTAACAAATCATAAGTATATATTCTCGCGAAATTGTAAGACTAGCCCTTGATACTACATTTTGATAAAGATGTGGAGTTGGTTGCCATAGCCTGAGAGAATAGCCACAAAAAATATTCTGAAAATGAATATGTCGAAAAAAATGATCAGAACACATTTTATTTATCCATGTACGGTATTCAAGTAGCCGTGTTTCAACCATAGTCGCTTTTCGCTACATTGGATGTTGGCCACCCCCGAGACAAAAGGGAACAAAAAGGTTTTAACTTAATTTATAGCTAAAGCTATAGCTAAATTAAAAAATAAATATAAACAAATTCATAAATTGGAAATTTGGTTCTCATAAATATAAAGATAAAATCAATTAAAGGAAGACTTACATCTAGCTTCTATGAACATTTAAATAAAAAACAATTATACAGTTTGAACAATATTAATTATTTTATTTAATTGCCATTGCACATGTACAATTATTTGCTATGAACTGAAGGAACTCGCTTTGCACATAACACTTACATTGTAGATATATTAGTTTCCAAAGGAATACAAACGTGAAAAGGTCACAGATAGACCACTTTATTACTAGTCAGTCGGACATAAATTTGCCCGACTTCCACCTTCCAACTCTAATTATTAAATATCTAGGCCTATATTATATGTTATCCACCAATAATTGCAAGCCATTGGCGGATTGCGTAGACCCTCGGTCTCAACTCTAGGGTAAATAACCTTGCAAATGCTTACTACAGTATATTTATAAAGCAATAACCCCCGCCGTATTTGGGTATGCCGCAGGATATTGCACAATTCACTCCATATATGCACTCGCCCGCGGATCGTGCATACACATGTATGCTGTGAATTGTGCAATATCTCGTGATATACCCGCCTTCGGTGGGGGTTATTGCTTAACATAATATGCGTCTACCATTCCATGGGATATACGCCAAAATATGCTTTCTGTTGACGTGCGTGACTCTCAGTGTGGCATATATTTGTGCATTTTACTTGAAGTTTGTCTCAAAAAATTACCAATGAACAAATTAGTGCACATTTTGTATTAATTATAGACAAATTTTGGAGTACTGTTACTGTTATATGCGCTACAATGTGCAAACTACACGAGTAGAATTCTACCTTAAATGAAAAGTGTGCCTACAGATGGCAAGTGAATTGGGTTAGTGTAAGTGTAACCGTACAGAAAAAATATAATTGTCAGTAAATCCACAAATGAAAAATTAGTACAAATTAAATAATTGTAAAAAATGTCAGATCAATAAATGACAATTGAATTAAGTCAATGAAAATAACGAATCAAAATAAATATATTGACAACACACTGTAAATGTACAGATGAATATAAATCAGTGTGACTGAGTACATGAAAAACTGATACAAAATATATTGAAAAAATAAATAATTGTAAAAAAATATATATCGCCAACAAATTGTCAATAAAAAAAACATGACAGTGGTTAATGAACAGCTAACATAAACTAAAACAAAACAAAAACCAAACAACGTTAGCTGTTATGGTTAGAAATGGTTGTAGGTAATCGTAATCTTTTGTATTTTTTCAATATAACCAAAAACTCCTTTCTCAATGAAAGATATAAATAGAGGCAATACGTTGTCTTGCTCAATCTGTTACAAAACGTCTGGTTATATGGGATAATTACCAAAGATTATCTACCCATATTCTTCAAGTTGACAAACACAAATACTTCTTACGTCAAATTTATTCAATTTTCAAGCTGCTTTGGAATGCTAGTTAATCAGTAACACACGATCATAGATTAGTGGCTGGGTTACGAACACCGGTAAGTTTATCGATAAGATGGGTAAACGTACAAATGACTATATCCGAAACATCCAAGTAGGACGTAATACGCTGATCTCATTAACACGTGACACGAGTAACTAAAGTCATATGGAGGATGAAGTACATTTTAAAGTGCGGTGGTCGTCGCGCAGCGCCTGTTCAAATTTCATGTAAATGAACAATGTATTTTACGCGCGTTGTATACGTCGCTATGAGTCCCATATCGAACAGGACGCGGCACGAAGACTGCCGCCCTTTAATGGAATGTCCATCGATGCGATATTCCTTGGCTAAGTACTTGATTCAATATTTTGACAGCACGCTACGAGAGGCAAGTCATCATGCTACTCAGTGAAACACAAATGTGTTTTGAGTATAGCAGCACATTACAAATAGTAATGTAATCAAGCCCTAAACTAACGTTAAACCGTGTTCTTGTTGTGATATTGTTTTTACGCGTTTCAGTGAGTACTGTTATTGTTTTCTGTGTTGATTGATCATTCAGTTACATTTACCCCCTCTTCTGAAGTGGAAGTTATGATGTAAGTCATCTTTGAGTCTACATAAACATGACACAAAAGAGAGTACATATGACTAAACTCATTTTTTACACTGGAATTATTCGCCATACGCTCTTCATCGTGCTGGTTGAATTTCATTGATAAATATATTTAAAATGTAGTCATTAGTAGTATCTTATGTACATTACATGATACTGCGTGCCATTCTCCGTCGCCGAGACGCTAGGGAACGTCCACTAGTTGCGATTCTCTGTGGCTCCCTAGGCCAAGAAGACTCTGCAAGGGAGAGTGGCTGCGAGCATGAATACTACGCGTAAATATTATTACAGAAAACATTCTGATTTGCGGAATATATTGAATTTCGTAATTTACAAACGTCTCGATTAATTTACATATTTCTAGATTCTAGTACACTGATGCATTTATGACATTGGTTGCCTATTACAGCATTGCTCATACAAGTTGACAGCTAATGCGTATTTAATTAATGGCAATAGAACAAGAGTTGTCTATGATTTAATATTTTATGTTAAATTGTCAAGTTATATGCACAACTTACAGTAGATCTAGACTGAATTGCGCCCTCATTGAATTCAGGTTTTTTTTTAATTAAGGAAAGAGGAGCGCAGCGCCCTCATGCCATGGACATGCGCCCTCTCACCCTGGAGAGTAGATCCTCTGGCAAACATAACATTCTGACTGACAAGGGATTACATGTGGCCACAGTCTTCCAGTCGTCAACTGTGACCTGTCTGATAGTAATTTTGGCCCCAAGGAAGCCATAGAATGCTTCATTTTAACTTAGAATTATCAAAAACTCCACACCCTTGTAGGGAGTGAATTGCAGTGCTCCCTCTTGCAGTTTTTTTCTAGGAAAACCCCTGAAATTACACATTGTGTTGACTGGTGGCGCTATTTTAATGGAAAATTGGATTGAAGAATATCGGAAATATCAATGAATAGAAAACTTTTCGTTCACTGCAGATCCCACGTTATGCGTAAAATTGAACCTGAAAACAGAACAAACAAAGGTCATAGCGTTGTATTGACCTCAAAACATCGCGTGGGGTTCGACAAACGCACCTTGGGGTGCATTTCCACGCTTATTAATGTGCTATACACATTTAATGATGGTCAATTTTAATGAAGTAAGGGTATCTTAACGCAAAGATTTTGACATTCAAAATCAAACCGACGTTCGGCCCGCGCCCATCACGCATTACGCGAGATCTCACAGTGAACGAAAAATCGCCTATGTGTAGATCATTTTCAAACAGCAAATGCTCCACAATAACTATATATAAACATACAAGAAATTATGGGATGAAAAAAACTGTGCAAAATATATTTTTCCTTCACTTAGTTTGGTGCTATTTTGTATCCATGAAGAATTTGCAATTTGCTTTCCACTGTAATATATTTTCTCACGAAGATATCGGAGTGCCGAATTTTTCCATTATTGATTTCTGCAGGATTTTTTCTTGATATTTCCTATGCAATTCTCCTCCAATTCTACCCCCAGAGTTGTAATGGTTCATCCCTATTAGTTAATACCAATACTTATATGCGATGGGAAAAATAACAAGAAGACATCGACGACCAATGACATACAATTAGAACAATAGACATCACTTGTGCCACTGGTTTAGGCATTACTTCCAGTTCGTCGATACTGGTAGACTTTAACGCGATTGTGGCCTCCATCCACTACGACCAACTTCTTGTCTTTGGTAAAGGCAATGCCTTCCGGATGACTCAGCCCTTCCGCGAGAATACCTCCGGGGGTTCCGTCTTTGTGAACCAGTAATATCTGTCCTGTCCGATAACTCACTGTCAGCATGTTATCCAAGTCATCACAGCAAATTCCAGTTATAAAATGACCCGGAAGATTTGTTGACCATATTTCGCGGCCTCTGATGTCATACTTACGTAGAGGGCGTTTTCCGTGGTTGGACACCAATATATTTTCATTGCTGGAATCGGTGCACATGTAGAAAATACGGTCGAGCTTATCTTTTTCGCCGATGCGACAGATTTCTGTGCCGTAGGGGGTGAACACGCGAATGTGGGACTGTTCATGACAAGAACTCGAGACGACGACGTGACCGATACGGTCGACCGTAATGCCATGAAGGTAGTTCCAGAAATCGTCATCGACTGGGCTTTTAGGGGAGTCGGAACTGTCCGTTTTACGGATGGTCACGTGACACTTGTCGGGAGATGTGATTCTAATACATCGTAATCCATAGTCGACGACTACAAAATCATTGTCTGGGTTTACGGCCACGTCCGTAGGAGTTTTGTACATATGGGCGGGTGATTGAAACTTATAATTTCCGAGCGAATCAAATATTTGAAGACGACTATTGCCTTTGTCCGCTACGACTATGTCGCCCGCATTGGTAACGGCCACGCCTTCTGGGTCGCAAAACTCTCCTGGGCCAGAACCTCGTTTTCCAAATTCAAATAATAGTCGGCAGGAGTACTGAACGGAATTTGATTTCAAAGGACCGTCGACAGTTACCGTGGTACCGCTTTCATCGACCACTTTGCCTAAAGGATCGGTCGCACGAGTGGCATAGCTACCGATAAATTTAACCGCCGTATCGACAACCATGTTGGCTTCTACGCAAGTCTCTGCCAATTCTTTCAATCTTCGCTCCATTTGTGTTTTCCCTGCCAAAATATCGCGATCGATACCCATTTTCAATATAATGTCAGTAAATTCAAAACTGCCGTTCAGTTTGAGCAATTCGAGATCAAGCATATCTTTCAAATCATTGAGTTGGCGTTCTTTTATAGACGAAAGTGCGTTGACCTGACCTTCCAGCGCGATTCGCATATTCGTTATATCGTCAACACGTTTTTCGGCTTCTAGATGAATTTTTTCTATTGTCTTCTCTTTTCCTTGTGCGATTTCATTTTGTGATTTAGCAACGGCTTTCAGAGAATTGTTCACCAGGGATATTTTCATCTTCACTTCCGACAGATTCTTTTTTAGGGCCTCGCGACATTCAGATATGGCATCGCAAAGCCGATGGTAGCGATGGTCGGGTTCCTTGTGATCAAGAACGGTGCAGTCACGACATATTTGCTTCTCGCATGTCTTACAGTAGAATCTCATCACTTCGCCATCGTGGACCTTGCATACCTGTGTTTTATCGTGCTTTAGAAGACATTCGGTACATTTCCCGGAACGGATGTCATCTAAAAGCACGGAGGCGTGGTTCTTGAACACCTTCAGTCGGCCGTGGGCCCCAACGCAATCGTCGCATAGAAAATCATCACAGGCGGGGCAGTATGATTTTGCTTCGTTCCCATCAGAACAGCAAGTGCAGACAATCGCATTGACTGGGTTACGGATTTTCTGAAGCATGCCCATAGTTTCGGTGAGGCTGGCGATGAACTCGTTATCACGTAAACCGTCGACGCCATGTTTACCGTACAATGAAACGTACTGTTTGCACACAGGACAGTTAAGCGAACGTTCGTTGCTGTCGCTTTTCAGCAAGCCATCCAAACAGTTTCGACAGAACGAATGCAAGCACGGAAGCAATTTAGGCGAATTGAAATCACCCTCACATAGTTTGCAACGCAAGAACTGGTCACAAATCTCGGAAAAAATGGTGGACGCAGCCATCATGGGCGTTCAGTCTCAGTGTTGCACGTAATTAATATGCTACCCGCATACTAATATAGGACAGTTGAACTATGTACAGTAAGGAGGCCACTGGGCGGTTATATGTTAAATTGATATATTAATATTATTATAATTAAATACCAATAACTTATCCAAATGTACCCTTAACAAATAGATATAATGTAGTAATGTGTCAGAAAAGTGCCATGTCATTGTAGTGGCGTAACGACTCAATGAGACGTATTTTTTTTCAAAGCTACACTCACACATAGTCTGTTGTTTTGGACTGTGGCGCACACAATCCTGTTCAATCGTCTGTGTTTTGTGTTCATAAGATTTAAATAACAATTAATAGTTTAAAATTGGAGTATCGTGAATTACTGTCTGGTTGATGACTTATCAGTGACACACGAGTGTAGAGAAGCCCAGGGAACGAGAATGGGTGTTATCGTAGTTTGTAGTAAAAAAATAAATAAAATTGGATTTCAAACAATGTGCTCGATTCACGATGGCCTGACTATTCAATGATTGTTTACGTACTAGGTTAAGCATACAGGTGGTTATAATCGGCGTACATATCGGAACTTCAGTTATTTGTATGCTGGGTACTGGCATATTTTCGAGAAACTGGGTTAGAGGTTTCACCGAGTTGGTACATGGTGGTTGAAAGCTAAATACGAAGACAATTCTTGCGTACAAGTCTAGGCAAATCCGTGGGAGGAACAGCTCGAGTAGGCAGATTTTATCCGACATTCTTTCATTCACACATATTTATGTCGTTTAGTATCATCGGCTTTGTTTTATTATTGTTCTAGTGGAATCAATTCTGTAAAATGTGACCGTCATGGAAATTGCCATAAGCAATTTTAAAACATTTATAATTTTAATAATAATTGAGCAATCTGTTTACTGGTAGAGGTGCGGTCCCCTGCATATAATGCATATTCAGTAAGTAATCTGAATCACACACAGAAGCAGAATAAAGACAGTGGAGACATCGTATGGTGGGTAACCCGACGAATGTACATACCACCTAACTGGGCAATCAACAGTTTTTAACGCAATTTTGAAACAATAATATTTACCCCAATATGACAAGAATATTCATCAAAAATGGAGAATTAATAATATCCACACGAAGTATGCGATAATAGTGGAGAGGGCGCAGTTATTTTTCAGGCATATTAGTGAACACAGTCTATTTACGTATTTGCTTTCAATATACCTGTGTAGACATGTGTATGGACGGGCACGGACGGGTCTGTGTCATGGGTCTGTGTATACATTCCAGCAATCAGTAGGGCGCCCCCAGTGGTATCTATTCGGATCAGGACAACGTGCTAAAAAAATCGAAATATTGTCACGAGATGGAAAAATTCTATTTTTCAGTGGCTTACTCCCTTAGCAACCCTATGTATCAGCAAGTTTCACTGCAATTCAAGATTATTTTAAAATTATGGGGCCAGTGTTGTAATAGGACGGATTGGAACTTTTTCGGCACTGGTATGCGTTTTGGTAAGTGATTTAGGGGAGTTTAGTTTTACAAACTCGATGTGACAGCAATGAAATCGTTGCGGCCGATTTTGTTCGGTGTCACTAGCTTATTTTATTTATTTTACGTTGATTTAACAGAGTTCTTACCATGCCGTTTTCGGTGTTATTTACTTGCTTTATGTCAGCAGCGGCTACTATGAATTTACAATAGTTTTATCGTTTAATCAATATTTTCTACATTTATATTTGAACGTATTTCAATGACAATTTCAAACAAACCATTCTCTGGACAAAACGACTGATACATCGTCGCTGTGATTGACGTGTTCTTGTTGTTCTCTGTTACATTAGTCTTTCATTTTGGTTATTTCAGGAAACACATCTATTCAGTAAAATATAAAAAATGAAAAAAGAATATATAATATAACAAGTACAGCAATTGATCAAGTATAATTATTGAATATATTCACCAAAATAACCATGTTCAGCTTGATGTCAAGTTACAGACTGATGATATTAAATTATCATTGATAAATTACGACTTAAATTCACCAGTCAACAGCATAAATACATCATTAGCTGGTGATAGATTGGTCGAACAACTACAATATTTAACATGACTTTCGACGCCGGTGCAGAATTTGTACGTGAATTTGAGAGATACATATGTATCAGAATCTGTTTCAGACGAGTATAAAGAAAAGAGACAGCGCTCTCAAACACATGCACAAACACAAGTCACTCCATATGCAGGATTAAACAATACGAAAAGGTATTTACTGAGCAATGTTTTGACCAGGTTTATTTCGGCCCAATGAGACGTAAGCACTGCCTGTAGGTAAGTAGAATTAACTTAAAGATAGATATTATGAAAATCTTGCTCATTGAAAATTGGTAAACTATGTGCGATGTTTAATTGAATGATATATGTTGTGTTAATTGATGTGTATAGAATGATATGTTCGTCTTGGATAAAGTATTTTGAAACAAACATTTACTTATTTAGAGTCCGCTCATTCGCCTGTCTGTCCAAATAGCATTGTTTTTGCAAAGTTTGTATAAAGAGAAGATCTTCTCGATTTTTATTTTTTGGTCGTTTAAGAATAGTCTAAATTATAAGAATGCGTCGGTTAATATTTAGTCGACATTTTCGCATGCAGAATATTTGCTCAGGCCTATGATCTTACGAACACTACATGCCTGTGTCCGACTTCGTGCACATGAGAATTTATACCAGGATATCGCCATGTGTATATTTCATCATGAACCATTTTATTGAATTGGAATGTGTTAATTCATTTAAATATCTTGGCATAAATTTCCAGTCTAATAGCAAATTAAACTTTGCTATATCAAGGTATATGACAAGGCTCAGAAGACATTCTTCAAAATGTACAAGATACTCGAGAATAACAATGAAATTAGACAGTTAGTTGTTAGATGCATTGGTCTAACAATTTTTATTTTATGGCGCTGACATTTATGATAAACCGATTATTAAACTTTTCATCACAAATTATCAACTACGCTTAACATTATTCAGTGAAAGTATCAAACCGAAAAATCACAAATCAAATTTTGTAAACGAGTATCAGCACGCACAGGATACGTTTGACGTTCCTTGTAAAACTGAACTTGGCCGCCATCCACTTATGGTGGACATTGATTATTATGATACTAAATATTATTAACGGTTATTCTGCATGGAAACTAATAATATCGGGTGCAGATTTTGAACATTGTAAAAACATAACATTTTATCCGGCTTGTGTGACGCCATTTTGATGGACGTAGGCAATACACGTGTTAGCGTGAGTTGATGGCATTGTTTGATATATGCGCTGTCGTCGAATTCTTTCTAAACGGTTTGAGCTAGTGTTGACCCCGGTGAACTCGATATATCGGTCGGCTCAGTACCGAGAAATGCGTAGTTATTTGCAACCTAGAGATATCACAGATCTTACGTAAGCGAAAAGTTGTAAAGTTATATCTCAATAATAAGTCCATAGATCATTTACCGGAGGTGACATCATGTGATATTAATAATCGCAACGGAAGTGTCTGTGATTGGTTTAATGTTGACAATATATGTACGATGAATCATTACATTGTGGTACATTTGGCTAATGCGACACTAGAGGGCGTAGTTTATTTCAGATTCTTCCAAATGTACAACGTTATTTCTCAGACATCTAATAACAACTTTATTAGATGTCTGGGGTTATTTGGTAGGTGTAAATAAAGAGTTGTCGACGGGCTTTGTTGGGAACTTCGGCTCCTAGCTCTGCCCGGAGCAGACATTTAAATGGATCTAACGTGTTGTCCGAGTCGTAGTTACTGACGTGTGCGAGCTTTATCCACGAGGCAGATACACGATAAGACGAAACCGTTTTGGTTCCCGAGTACCTGCGTAACAACAAACATAGACTGGCTACAGTCAGGTAGATTTAATTTTTCCTCCCTCAAGTGAATTAAACAAAATATTTCCATATATAAAAATATTTCCATTAATATATTTTATTAAAAACTCCACTTGCGGCGACCCCCCCCCCCCCCGTGATTTTTTGGTGAGTGGAGATTTCGTTGTGAGTGGAGAGAATAGTTATTTTTAATTGAAAATTACACCACTGTTTTAAAAAAATCGTCCCGACTGCCAGACTACGACACACATTTTCCTTTCTGTATTTACTGGTAAGCTGGTAAGTACACTGCTGTTTGTTAGAGTTATAGAGTGAGTATGGTAAAAGTAGATTTGGTGTGTGACGTAGAATATAACAGCAGAGTAATAACCTGTATTTAATGATACATTGTTTCACTGTGGAGATACACGTGTTGTGCATGTAACAATGACTGATACCATCATGTCCATATCAAGAAAATAAATGTCAACATTTATAAACAAAGCACTTACTTCATTTGCATTAAATATCAAATCAATACACATTTAAGAATAATTTAGTTATACTACATTTTACATTGCTATTTTATAGCTTCAGGAATTGCGCATATGTAAAAAGCGGTTTCTTTTTTTTTTGTAGTATTGATGATTTTATTTTTAAATGTTTAGCGCAGTTTGTTTTTAATATAATTTTAGAATTGTATGGTTTGTTTGGATTGTATTCTTATTTGTTCGGCTGCGGCAACCTGTATTGTCCCAAACCTGCCAAATAAAATATCTTATCTTGTCCTTCTAGCGCCCGCAGCAAACGTGACAATAAGTAATACCAACACAAGTTTGCACAGCGCCCTCTAGTGACGAAAAGATTTGTTGCCATCAAACTGACAGACGTATATGTGCAATCTACGGACAAGTACCAAGCAAAGATCGAAGTATTATAGCGCTATTAATGACGCCCGTCCCGACGGCTGGGGTATGAGACGTGGAGGGGTGTTTGGACCTAAATTCCATACCCCATTTTAAACCAGTATGATTAGAATTTAGTACAGGATTAGATGACTTAAAGGGCGGTGGTCGTCGCGCCGAATTGATTTTTCCACAATACAATGCGTCTTCCTAACGAAATCAAATTTTGACCGCCGGTGATTCTATCAATACTTTCCAGTCACATAAAAATATATAATTAAAGCTTGATAACGTATCACTTTGTACCTGTTGGCCTGCGCAAGTCAAAGTCACCTTCTTTGTTTATACAATACCCATATCTAGCGCATGCGTGGCACGACGACCGCTCTTTAATTAAAAAATATGGCATCACCATACACATTTCAGAAAAAAATCGATCAATAAAATACAATGTTTTGACTGTTTCAGGGCATTATACCATCGTGTCAAATGACAAGAATATATATCTCAATATTTTAATCCGTGACATGCTGTGAAAAAAAAAATGATATATTGTCTTATGATGTACTTGTTGATGTCTAGATGTACTGAAAATTGACAATTGGGAAATATGTTTTCATTGTTGTCTATGGAAACCGCTGCTAAAACGGCATGTTATCCATATTATTTTACTGTTATTCTCGAAAAAACAGATGACAGTGAAGAAAAATAACTATTATGCCGGGATTTAATTCACTATACACAGGGAGAATATATTTATTGACAGGGATGTGCCCCTTCAATCTGGTGTTGTGGTCTGCGTAGCAAGCAGAATTTGACGGGAATATCATATTACTTTCTCCTCAACACCGTTCGAAAGCCATTATAAACACCAACCATATATGGTGCGATCAAAGTGATACGATTCTTGATAGCCAAGCTGGCTTCAGAAAGAGTCACGTCTGTTTTGTGTAAAGCATTAGACTATGTGACTAGGGTTAAACTGTTTGCAAAGCTCATAAAATCTAGGATTACGCGCAAGTTTGATTAGAAGTATATATGGTGTGCGTTATTCAGTTAAAATTGAACATGGTTTTACAAGTATGTTTACATCATTGATTGGTGAACAGGGTGATAATTTAAGTTCATAACTATTTGTATTATTTGTGAATGGTTTAGAGATTGTATTGAAGCGAGCATCACTGAAGAGCAATTTGTCCTGTTTAATATACCCAGATGACACAATCACTGTATCCTGCACAACCCCTGGCATTATTATAAGTTATAAATCACCACTATCGGAATATGAGGTTTTTATGACATCATATATTTAAATTAGCAGACGATAAAGTAAACCTCTATTTGCAAGTGAATTTATTTAAAAAAATAAACAACCCCCAAATTTGTTACATTGTGGTGACATGCAATGAGGATAAAGAATTCAGCACATCGATAAAGACGTATTCGGCTTCACCTCACATATTACATTTATCTTAGCATAGACCCTTCTTCATATGCAATATTCATTATTGTTTAAATTGATTGACCACCGTCCCGCTTTAACATAAATTGCTACAAATGTCACGTCAAGATAAAAGTCACATTATGTTGCCACGGATTTTGCAGTTAGAGATCTAACTTTACGAAACTTATCGCACTTAGTTTGTAACTCTCACTGAACAATGAGAACTAGTACCAAGTACAACTGCTTACAGTAGATTACTATCTTATAATGTTTAACCACAGTGGTCTTGAATATTAACCTTGACCAGATCTAATTACCATACAATGACTTCTCACAAAGGTCAAATGTTAACTAAAGTATAAATAACAAAGCTATTTTCCAATAATGAACTCCAGATGGCACTGATTATATTAAGATGAAAAAACATACTGGCACATATACTGGTAGTTGTACAAAGTTAACCCAATAATATATGCAAATTAGAAAATGCTGCTCAGTGAACAATAATTACAACTACTATATATGCAAACTCATACAATTAAATTATCTTATGCAACTTATGATGTTTAAGAAAATAAGTAAGTAATCTAAAAAAATGTGCTTGTACTGATGACAATACATAATATAAAAAACAAGTGTAAAGGTTTTAAATAGTGCAGCTATAAGGTAAACTGTCAAGCACATGTTGACAAATGGTCAAATATTAACTAGAGTAAAAACAAAGGCATTTTCTATAATGAACTTAAGATGGCACTGGTTCCAATATGATGAAAATGTATACATAGTCACACAACAATGGAAAATTCCAAAGGATTTCAAAACAACTATTACATGTATTTTCTGATTAAATCCTGTTACGGATTAGGGGGATTGAATTTCAAAACATTAAAAATACTTTTCTTTAACTAAAAAACAATTTCACAACCATTACGTTTTAACAAAAAAATTAATAAAATAATTACTCCACATCTCATTAATTATGCATGTAAATTGCACTAATATTTAACTTAGTTATCCTTACACCTTTATAACATATATAAATTTGAAACTGATCGGGTAAAAATTACTTGAGTTATCGAGCCCACAATGGAAAGCCAATCATGAGCCGTCTCTCATTAATTATGCAAGCAACAATATCGAACTTGGCCATCATTGCATGTTTGTTTAACATAACAAGTCAAAACTCACGCCGACAACGAAGACAAAATCTTCCCCTTACTATACCTTACCCCTTGTTTACACTACACTACGGGCACAATACACAAATACACACATTAAACCTGACATTTTGTTATACTATCTATTGCTTCTAGAATTGTTATGAAGATTCATTTGGATTTGCCGCACCCAGTTCAGAATTACGTTGGGCCATTTAATTCAGAAAATGTAACTTGAATCAAGTGTATGGTCTCTTTAGCGCAGGGGTGCGGTTCATTCGATTAGAGATCATAGTCTGCGACCTCTAGACGATCAATCAAAAGCACGAGCAAATTAAAATTTTAACAAATAAATAGGGAAGCTGAAACAATTGTCTACATTCAAATACGCAGAAAATATAATTTTTAGGAAAGATTCCCCGCATTTTGATTTTTCTAAAATTTAAATAACTTGAATCTTTTCCACTCACGACCCAGTTATATCAGTCCCGGCGAAGATCATCGGATATGCGCGATAAGGGACTTACTTGCCCAGACATCGGACTCAGATATGGTGAAATTGTAAAAACAAAGAATTTTAAAATTCATTAATAGTACCTCAGATTTTTAAAAATTGTGGAAACTATATAAGGGATATGATATATGAAAATGAAAAATATTTAATAACAGAAAGTAAAACCAAAATAAATGATAAAACAAAATTTGAGCCTATACTTACATCGGATTTTAATCAGTTTGAAACGCACCCAATTAATAAATCATATTTAAATATATTTCATATTGACAAGAACACTACTGTGGTTGTATTATACCTGAATTATTAACACATACATTTACATTGGTTTGCAGAGACCACGTCACATTTGTAAAGATAATACATTTCTATGATACATATATTCATTGTTACATGTTTCAACAACTGATAAAAAATATTAATTAGATGTGTTCGGATGTACTAGGTTAATTATTCAAGATTATTAATTTTTGTGCACATAATTTTACTATTGTGCAAATATTTTAATATAGTGATTGTTATAATCAGCCACTACAACCTTACCAAATGGTTTATCATTTGTGACACAGATACCACGGGGACCACTCAACCCATCACCAGGACTATTAATACGACATACAAATTGACCATGGCAGTCATACTTCTGAATCCTATTATTACCGGTATCACTCACATACACATATCCATCTGTATCAGTAGCTACACATAAAGGACAATGTAGTTGACCATCAGAATTTCCA